GGGAACAAATGAAATAGGAGCATTAAGTGCTCAAAACCATCAGTTACTGCAACCATCATAACAAGTGTGTGCAAAACTCGCCATTTCCCCCTCTTATGTGATTGGATGTGTGTGTGTGTGTGTGTGTTGCATGTGTGTGTTGCACGTGTGCATGTGTCTGTGCCTGTTGCATGCTTTGCATATTTTTTTGTGCAGACATGAGGGAAAGAGGAGGATATTGGTGTCTTGCATCATTCTCTAACTTATCCACTTGACATAAGATCTCTGACTGACCCTGGAGCTGGTCTGGCAGCCAACAAGCCCAATTGGTAGTCTCTTCCACCCACAGTACTGGGGTACATGTGCATGTGTCCATGCCCAGTTTTTTATGTGGATGCTGAGGATTCAAACTCAGGTTGATCTGTGTTGGCAGCAAACATTCTTATTGACTGAGCCATCTCCCAAACCACTGGCTTTTTAAATTTTTATTTTTAAATAGAACTATGAGTGAGTCTTCACTGAATGTTACATAGATTGAGACAAGTTGAAACTGCCAAAGTAAAAACTTTTTAAAACCTGGGTCAACGTTGAATTACATAAATGCAAAAATATAGTGCACAGATAACAAATCTTTCAAGAGAGATGCTCTAAGGACCAAACTCACCCCTCACTGCATGCTTTTATTCTAAAGGCTCTCTGAAAACCCTCATGTTACAACAGAGGACACGGCCACCACCTCTGCTATTAAGGTAAAATTCTCCTTTGTGAAATTTGTTTCCTTATGAATTTTGTTAAAATGCAGCAGTACTCTACCTATCACAGTTTTTTTTTTTATGCTAAGGTTTTCTCTTTTTTTCCGTTTATTTGTTTATTAAAGATTTCTGTCTCCTCCCCGCCACCTCCTCCCATTTCCCTCTTCCTCCCCCAATCAAGTTCCCCTCCCTTGTCAGCCCAAAGAGCAATCAGGGTTCCCTGTGGGTAGTCCAAGGACCACCCACCTCCATCTAGGTCTAGTAAGGTGAGCATCCAAACTGCCTAGGCTCCCACAAAGCCAGTACGTGCAGTGGGATCAAAAACCCATTGCCATTGTTCTTGAGTTCTCAGTAGTCCTCATTGTCCTCTATGTTCAGCAAGTCCGGTTTTATCCCAGGCTTTTCCAGACCCAGGCCAGCTGGCCTTGGTGAGTTCCCAATAGAACATCCCCATTGTCTCAGTGTGCGGGTGCACCCCTCGCGAGCAAATTAAGAAAGCTGTTTTACAGCCTCCCAGTCTTTGGGGACCAATTATTTTGCAGTGTGGTTATTCTCAATCCTACATTTCGAACTACATAAGACAATTTGGAAAAAAAAATATTGGTTCCTGGGTCCCAGGTCCAGAGATAGAGGATGGCTACTCAGAAAAGGTCCCGTGGTAATTCCACAGGCCAACAGGATGGGCTACCATTGGTTTCGAGAGCTCCGAGACTCACACTTTAGTCTGCCACTCCGAACTTCTACAAATTTGAAAACCTTAGCATATTGGGTCTCTGTCTCTGTCTCCTTTCATCGCCTGATGAAGGTTAATATTCAGGAGGATGCCTATGTGTTTTTCTTTGGGTTCTCCCTATCACAGTTTTATATGGAAATTTGGTCAGAGAAAAGTGTTTGGTATCAGTGAACCATCCTTTCTATAAATTCCAGTGAGCAGTAAGTCCTTGCAGATAGCGGTGGCCCAATAGGAGAATGAACTGGAAACACAGGGTGTGGAAGATTGAGTGCAGTTCTCATATATTAGAAGATGCCTGGTGCTTGATCAAGGATGGTTTGCAGAAATAGATACACATTAGACTGATTTTTAAAACAACTGTGGTGATACATCTGAATACATTTTAGAGGGTCCGGTTATTGTAGTGGTCCAGGCATCACCCAGGTGCCTTTTCTCTCAGCATAATTGCAGGTAGGTTGTCTCTTCCCTTGGATAGTCCTATTTCAGGATCACAGATAAAAGCATCTCCTCTGTCTCTTTTCTTCTGTGTTTATATTAGCAAGAAATTTTGGAAATTTAGCTATTTGTAATCTGTTCAACCAAGTTTTCATTATGAAGAGATTACAGACTGTTTTCTATTTGATTCCACTAGGAGGATATTGACAACTCTTCCTCCAGGTACACAGTAAGTATTTTTCCCCAATTAGCCAGCAATTGTAGATGTGAAGATTCAATTACCATATAGTAATACTTTGGTTTCTGGATATTTGCTCTGTACTTGACAATAATATACACTCTGATACTTTGTATCATGTTTTTTATTTATTTTACTTTTTCTTTTATTCTTTAAGACAATCTTTTTTATTTTACATACCAATCCCAATTCCCTCTCCCTCCCTTCTGCCTACTCTCCCAACTCCCCACCACCCCACTCCACACTACCCCACTCCCCATTCATTCCTCATAGAGGATAAGGTCTCCCACGGGCAGTCAACAAAGTCTGTCATATCCCTTGAGGCAGGACTAAGGCTATCCTCCCTGTATCTAGGCTGAGTAGAGTATCCCTCCATAGGGAATGGGTTCCAAAAAGCCAGTTCACATACTAGGGGTAAATAAATACTGGACCCACTGCCAGTGGACTAACAAAACTGACCAAACCATATGACTGTCACCCACATTCAGAGGGCCTAGTTTGGTCCTGTGCCAGTTCCCTAGTTGTCAGTCAGGAGCCAGTGAGCTCCCACAACCTTGGGTCAGCTGTTTCTGCAGGGTTTTTTTTTTCTATAATCGACCTCATATTTGATCACAAAGCAAATCTCAACAGATTAAAAAAAGTGGAAATAACCCCGTGTCTTATTGGATCACCTATGGGTTAAAGTTAGAATTCAACAACACTAATTGCAAAAATTCCATGTATTCATGGAAACTGAACAATTCTCAACAGAATTACCCCTGGATCAAGGAAAAATAAAGGAAGCCTTCCTAGAATTTAATGAAAATGAATGCATGACATACCCAATTATTCGGGATACTTTGACAGCATTACTAACAGGAAAATTCATAGCACTAAGTGCCTACATAAAGAACCTGGAGAAATCTCACACTAGCATTTTAACAACACACCTGAAAGCTCTAGAACAAAAAAGGGAGTCTCACCCAGGAGGAGTGGATACCAGGAAATTATCAATTTGAGGACTAGAATCAATAAAATAGAAACAAAGTAAATGAAACAAAGAGTCAGTGGGACAAAGAAATGGGTTATTGAGAAAATCAGCAAGATAGACAAACCCTTATTCAAACTAATCAAAAGAAAGAGAGACAAAATCCATATTCACAAAATCAGAAATGAAAAGGGGGACATAACATCAGACACTGAGGAAATCCAGAGAATTATCAGGTCATATTTCAAAAGTCTGTATTTGAGAAAAGTGAAAAATGTAAAGGAAATGGACAATTTTCTTTTGTGTTTTAACCCTTCAGAAGGTATAAAGCAAACAGAAGAGCTCGCTCTGTTTGTATACCCTACTTAACATTACAAATGGCTAACAACTAGCTAGTTACCTTGAACCATCTAAATTCAACATTAGGAGAGACAGGGGCAGACTTGACATAATTATGACACTTAATAAAACCATTAGTAACTGTAATTTTAATATTGTCAGAACCAAACTCAAATGCTCTTTCTTTTAAGCCTAATCCAACTTGGTTTCTGAATTAATATTAGCTATTATGTATGATCAAAGTGAGTCATTGGTCAAGGGAGGTCTTAGCAGGGAGACAGATCTCAAGTGATTTTAATAAACAGACATTCAGTTGCCAGACATCTTCCAAGATTTCAGTGAAAAATCATTAGCATATAAATTGACATGATTAATACAAATGCAAATTTTAGACTAATGTCAAAATTTTAGTTTGATACAGAAAGTAAATGGTAATGTGATGAGTGTGGCAACCATGGAGTGTTCCCCTTGGCGTGAAGGGACCAACATCTTGGATATGCAAAGGATTAGAATACAAACCACAATATACAAACCACAATATCACTAATAGAAATGAGATCTTAGCACAGAAACATTGCGAGACCCTGTCTCACCCAGTGAAAGCAGAGAGCTGCCTCCTGAAAGTTATCCTATGCCCTTCACACACACACACACACACACACACACACACACACACACACACACACACGTGCACGCACACATGTATGCATGTACGTATACACACAGGCACTAGCATAGCACAAACAGGCATATTAATTCAAGCACACAAGCAAACACACACTCCAATAGTAATTTTTAGGATAATACAATATTGATTATTCAGATAATAAATGGTGTCTATATATTCATTGGCACTCCTGTTGTGTAACTAACATATAAGGAAAATATTTTCAGGGTCTCTCAGTCATCTTCAGTGTTTCTAATTTCCATGTGACATGTGTCCTGGAAAACCATACTTGTACCATGTGGCCCTTTCATTTCCCTTTTATAACTGGCTTAAGCATATTTAGTTAATGATGAAGCAATGAGTGAAACATATGGCGTGTGAAAATGTGTCTAAGGCTCACAAAACTCTAGCTTTGATGTGTTCACGCTCATCATTCTCAAGGAAACCAAATGAACTGAACATTTTCACATGATGCCCTTGAGCAGTTCGGACACACATGTAGTATGTTACTTCCTCATCTGTTTTCCTTTACAAACAATGCTTCTCAAGCTATTTTGTTTACCATCTCCACGCTACATTGTTTGATCATGTTATGTAAGCTCTGGAACGTTTGAGTATTTCACATAAGTAGCACAAATCCTCCTCAAACCTGGTACAGAAAGGTAAACATAGACTGCTAAGTTAGGAGTCTCCCTGAGATGTCATGAATGATTAAGGCCTAGCATCATTATTTGTAATTGGAATAAAAGCTGGGGAGGCTCTCCTTCTGACAAACAGCATCAAATGCATTTTCAAAACTGGCACTTCCTAAATATATTTATTTATTTATTTATTAAAGATTTCTGCCTCCTCCCCGCCACCGCCTCCCATTTCCCTCCCCCTCCCCCAGTCAAGCCTCCCTCTCTCGTCTGTCCGAAGAGCAATCAGGGTTCCCTGCCCTGTGGGAAGTCCAAGGACCACCCACCTCCATCCAGGTCTAGTAAGGCACATGGTTCCAATGGGATACATACAATTTCATCACCACCGTGATTGAGGCCGGCAGGCATGGTGCTGTAGCAGCAGCTGAGAGTTACATTTAAATCTATACAAGGAACCAAGAGCTCACTAGAAATGGCACCAGTCTTCTGAAACCCAAGACCACACAACTCCTCCACCAAGGCCACACCACCTATCCTTCCCCCCAAATAGTTCCACTGCCTGGAAACCAACATTCAAATATATGAGCCCATGAGTCTGTTCTCATTCAAGCCATCACAGAGATGCTGGAACAGGCCATTGCATTCATCAGCCATATATAAAAACAGTCATAGCTAAGGAGTAAGAGTTTGGATGGCATCTCCCAGAACCCTTCCTTCAGCCCCATAGTTTCCATGTGCTGTGGGTAGTGGCACACTTTATTCATGCATTTCAAAAGTCACCCTCACTATTCTGTTATCCCGGGAACCTAATGGGCAATTGTGAAAGCCATGGGGAAAGCAGTAGTGTGGTGCAGAAGAGCGAGGTTCTTTTTGTTTCCAAAGCCCCTGATTGTCACATTCTCTTAATCTGGATGGAATGTAAAATCCTTGTCATAAAGACAGGAGTGGACACATTGTGTCTTTTTTTCCATCTTTCTTTTATAGAGAGGTAGCAAAGAACAGTAGAAAAGAAGGCATAAAGCTGAATAGATCCCCTTTTAAGATTCTCAAACTCTGGGCCTTTGACTAAACCAATGGAAGCAAAAGTTTCAGGATATCAGCGGTTATGTGATAAAATTAGCCTGAGAAAACAAACATTTGGGGACTCTAAATCAAGACCCTGACATTAACAGATAAGTTCTAAAATGAACAAAAATAAGTGAGATTTTCAATGAAATCTAACATCTCAAAATTTCCTTAAAGGTTGAAACAAAGAAGGGAGAAGATTTCCTTCCTCCACTTAATATGCATGACATCGTGCCCCAGCCTCCTGCCCATGCCGATGCCACATCAACTTCTCATGTTAGTGAAACAGGTGACAATCGTCAGTCATCCGAGGAAACTACTGTTAACACCACCAGCGTTAGTGAAAGAGGTGACAATCTTCAGTCTTCGTCATCTAAGGAAATTATTGTAAACAACACCAGCGTTAGTGAAAGAGGTGACAATCGTCGGTCATCTGAAAAAACTACTGTTAACACCATCAGCGTTAGTGAAAGAGGTTACAATATTCCATCATCTGAGGAAACTACTGTTAACAACACCAGCGTGGATCACACACCTCCTCTAGGTACTTATACTGGGCATGCAAGGGGGAGAACACATGCTGTCCCTGACCTTGCTCCTGGTAGCCACACTGGTGACACCATGGACCCTGTGCAACATTCTGACCCTGTTCTTGATACCTGCTTAGAAGAGAACACAGTGTCTTAGCTTCACTACTGACCAGAAATCTGCTCTTGTTTGTATCCCAGGTGACACGTTGGACCCTCAGAATGCTCATATGTGGGTTCTTGCTTCACGTCCTGCTCACGGCACCAGCTATGCAGCGAATACTCCCGTCATGGTTTTTCCAATTTGGGCAGCAACCACATCCTTGCTCCTCCTAACATCGTCAATGTGGTTGCTGCAGTTGGTGGCTTTGACGATGCCGTGGGTATGGAACCTAATTTAGAAATCCTGCACAGTTAAAGTTAAAGGAGCTTAACAAGGTAAGTTAGACCACACCAATGGCTTAAAATAGATAAATATTTCTGTGCGGGAAATCCAATTCTCTTTGGCTCTAATATGCATGATGATAAATAAATTTCATACTTTGTATAGGACTCTTTAGATATTACCTATAACTAGAAAAAAAATGATTATCTTTTCTAGTCATATTGAAAATGCATCACATAAAATTAACACAATCAGTTTAGTCCAACCAAACTGACCAAGTAAGCACACAGTTGCCTCCCATGCTGGAATGAGGAAATGATTTTCACTCTTAATGTGAAACTTGTATTTTCTGAATGGCGAAGCAGGGAAATGTAACTGTTAGATATTAGTTGTTATTTTTCTGTGTCCATACACTGTGACTTATGTGGACAGCATTATTTTGGAAACAAACACCCCAAAAGAAACAACCTCTGAGAATAAAACCAATGAAACAAGACTCCACATTCTCACCATTCTCAAATACAATTTTACTCATTGTGACATGACACTACATAGGATTCTATGGGTGATGCCTCTGTTACTGCTTATCTTGACGATGCTACCAATGATGTTCTTGATACTACTGATAATTCTTGCTTTTCTTTTTAGTTTCTGCTGAACAACCTATGAAGAGCTCCTGTCATCAAGTGTCAGAAATATTTTTTGAGGTTTTTTTTTCATTTTATTGTTTGAAGAATATTTTCAGTTTACTCTTTGACATTTTAATGTATGTAATTCAGATCATCCATGTTGCTCATATCTTCCCCATCCCTGTCCTCTGCCTCCATCCCATCCCCTAACTTGTCCTCATCCCATTTTTGTGTCATTTATCTTAAGGAGTAAGACTTCCAGTAGGATCCCCACAGCCAAGTGCATGTGGACATTATCAGTTGGACTAAGTGAGTTATTTAAAAAGGGAGGGAAGACATAACATCCATCTTTCACCAGTTTTGCAGATAAATTACATATAGTGTTTTGTTCCTTGAATTACTGGCCAGTTTAAAACATTAAATCTTATCTAATTCTATAGACCTTATTATGCTTTCAGTACATGTAAAGCTTGCTAAACTTTCATTCACCTATTTAAACATGTACTGTACATGCATCCCCAGAGAGAGAACACAACTCAAGGGGATACACAAGTCAATAGGAATTTGACTTTATCTAGTGGAACATACTGATAAATACTGAAAGATAAACAAAAACACTTTGCTACTTGGACTTTCTCTCTTACTCCTTGATCAGAAGCCTCCTAGTTGTGCGGAATTCTAAGGAGGTTAAGGAACTGTAATGGAGAGTTGAAAGGAGCAAAGGCTCAAAAGTATTTCCAAGAGGTCAATAAATTCATTATTCTGCCATCCGATAAAATATTGAAATCAATTTCTGCCTAGAATGAATTTCATGAGATTTCCAGAAAAGGAGTAGAGTTGTTCATTTGTAACAAAAGATGACAAATATTAGATGCCGAGTTTGCCACATCTTTATGAATACAAATATAGATATGTATGGGTTCCTTGGCACCCTATTGTTCAACATTCAGGAATGAAAAATTCCACTGAGAGTTGTTGAGGCTAAGAGGCCCAGCTAGGGCTAGAATATAAGAATCAACATGGCTTATGTGTGTGGGGGTTTATATATTTATATATGTACAATTAAAATACCTGGTCTTTTAAATGAGCTCAATATTTTCAGAATGCATGATTTTAAAACTCTTTTTGAGGAAGCATGTGGAATGTACTGCAGGGGATGAAAGAATACTATAAAAATATATAAAAAATAAATTATAATGTATTTCTGGTTCCTTCATATGTAATCTAGTTCCTTCTTAGTCCACCTCCTTTTTGGTATTCTAAAAAAAAAAAACTATTAACCTGTTGTACATTATTTTGAAAAATTAAAGATATAAGACACCTTTAAAAATGATGTTGTTATGATATTATTACATTGGCTTTCAAGTGACAATCTGTCAGAAATATTTTATAAAATTTAGAAATTTTCCTCAATTGGACCTTGGGAGCTCAGTCCAGTGCTCCAATGTGGGTCTCTGTCTCCATCTCCATCCATTGCCAGATGAAGGTTCTATGGTGATATGCAAGATATTTATAAGTGTGGGACAGTTCAGGCGTCCTCTCCTCAGCTGCTCAAGGAACAAGCTGGGGACATCTCCTTGGACACCTGGGAACCTCTCTAGATTCCAGTCTCTTGCCAACCCTAAAATGGCTCCCTTAATTAAGATATATACTTCCCTGCTCCCATATCCACTCTTCCTCCATCCCCACCATCCCATTCCCCCAAACTCTCCCCATCTTCCCTTCTCACTTCTCTCTCCCCCTCTCCACCTCACCCATCCCCCAAGCTCCCAATTTTTGCCTGGCTATCTTGTCTACTTCCAATATCCAGGAGGATAACTATATGTTTTTCTTTGGGTTCACCTTCCTATTTAGCTTCTCTAGGATCACGAAGTATAGGTTCAATGTCCTTTATTTATGGCTAGAATCCACTAATGAGTGAGTACATACCATATTCATCTTTTGGGGTCTGGGTTACCTCACTCAGGATAGTGTGTTCTATTTCCATCCATTTGCATGCGAAATTCAAGATGTCGTTGTTTTTTACTGCTGAGGAGAGAGAACATGAACAAGAAAGTCAGGACCGCAAGGGGTACGCCCACCCACTGTGACGGTGGGGCTGATCTAATGGAAACTCACCAAGTCCAGCTGGACTGGGACTGATGGAGCATGTGATCAAACCGGACTCTCTGAACATGGCTGACAAGGAGGGCTGACTGAGAAGCCAAGGACAATGGCACTTGGTTTTGATTCTACTGCATGTATTGGCTTTGTGGGAACCTAGTCTGTTTGGATGCTCACCTTCCTAGACCTGGATGGAGGAGGGAGGACCTTGGACTTCCCACAGGGCAGGGAACCCTGACTGCTCTTTGGACTGGAGAGGGAGGAGGAGGGGGAATGAGGGGAGGGGGAAGAAAATGGGAGGAGGTGAAAAATTTTAATAATAATAATAAATAAAATCTGTACTTACTCTCAGGAAAAAATTAGAAATTATAATGTTAAATATTTCTCTGAAAATTGATACAGTATATATTGAATTTTGTATATAAGTTTTTAGTAGCTTTTCATTAAAATATACTATGAAAATATTTTAAACTATTTCTTTGTATTGTACAAGCTGATGGCATGACCTCTTGGTGACATGTTTAAGGAGAAAGCTTCTATTATAGCTATCAGAGATAGAACAGACAGTGGCACATCAAATCACGCAGAGCAGAAATAGATGTTGGCTGAACATAGTCAACTGCACCTGCCTATGATAGAAGCAGAAGCAGAGCAGAGAGGCAGATGGAGAGAGACAGAAGAAGAGACACAGAGAGAGGGAGAGGAACACAGAGACAGGAGGAGACAGAGAGATAGGTTTAGAAAGAGAATGAGAAGCTGGGAGAGGGATGCTTCTGAACTAGAGGGAGTTTAGGGTAGGGAGCAGGGTAGAAGACCTAGAACACGAGCATGGACTCTGACATGCACAGTGGGTACTGGTGCTACTGAAGGACCTGGAGGCTAGTCTGTACCTTGTTATAGTAATAGATAATGACCACAGATAGTCAACTTTTCCTACTGCCAGTGAGAAGAGAAATGACCCCTTTGAGAAGAGGAAGTAGCTTCACAAGTTTTTAAGGAATGTTGGATTTATGTACCCTCCAGAAAGCCTCCAAAAGTCCAGGTTGAGCCCATTTCTGGGTATCTGGGCCTGCAATTGCAGTTTTGGAAACTGGAGTTCAATGAATTTTAGTGGATTTTCCAAGGCACAGACAAGTCATGTTGAGGTTTCCCTTCTCACACTGCTCTCACATGAGTGAAAACACCACTCGAACTACTCTATTGGCCTTAACATCCATAGATTTAAACTGTGGCTGCTTACCTGCATTCCCTCTTTACTTTTTATGACATTCCATCACCCAGCACATATTAAGTGAGCAAAGTCCCTCACTGAGGGTGGGGCCTTATGAGCCCCTTCCTGTGTGTGATTATCATTGTGTCCTGGACACCATTTCACAGAAACAATCTTCAACCTCTGCCTCTCACTTCCAAAGCAGTCCCTGAGCCTTGCAGCGTGTTGTGGTTCAGGTGTCCTGCTGAGGTCTGAGAACTGCACAGTTTTGTATTCTCTAAACTTTGGCCAGGTGTGAGTCTGTGCAGTCAGCAGAGCCCACTTCCTAAAGAAGCCTCTCTCATTAGGGATCACAGTTGCTCAAATGTATAGGTGTCAGGGAGAGTACGTAGAAGGCAGTTTGATGCCATGTAATTTTAACAAATCAACAACAGAGGGCCTATTGTGTGGATTCATCACATCAGTGATTAACTCAGAGTCACCAATACTGCATCAGCATGGCAGTAAGGAAATAAAAGCACTTCCACTGGGAGTCATTTCCAGGTCTGAATTTTCTCCATGTTCCCTGTCTTCCCTCCAAATCTGTGCCTTTCTGAAGAAGTGTGCCTGTCCCTTTGTCTGGTTGTGTGTGTGTGTGTGTGTGTGTGTGTGTCTGTCTGAGTCTTTGTCTGTCCCTATGTCTGTCTGTCTGTCTGAGTCTTTGTCTGTCCCTACATGTGTCCCTATGTCTGTCTGTCTGAGTCTTTGTCTGTCCCTATGTCTGTCTGTCCCTACATGTGTCCCTATGTCTGTCTGTCTGTCTGAGTCTTTGTCTGTCCCTATGTCTGTCTGTCCCTACATGTGTCCCTATGTGTGAATTTGTGTGTCTGCCCCTTTTCTTGCTCTCTCTTTTATTGAATTTCCCCATAAGAATCACCTGGGGAAGGAGTGGGGTACTTTACAGAAATCATTCATGGAGTCTTACAAGGGATTAAGGTAGTGAGCACAACTGAACCCAATTTACCAGCCTTAAAAAGAAATTACAAATACCATGATTGCCCAGTAATGCTGCTGTGCCCAACTGTTTTGGTGGATACTCATTTAGAAGTGTTTTCAACCTCTATGTTTGCTCTTTTATACAAATGATAAACATGAATTGTTCTGGATCAGGGGCACAGAAAAAGACATAATTGATTTCCAGAAAACTCCGTTCGGCTGGAAGAAGCCGCGCTCTTCCGGGAAAATGGCGACTCCCGCTCCCGCACCAGAGTCGCCGCAGGCCGCGGAGCCTGCGCCCGCTGTGGACCCCGCCGGGGAACCCTGCCCGCCGCGCTAGCCGCAGCCCGTGCACAATGTTCTCGCTGCCCCGCGGCTTCGAGCCCCCAGCTCCCGAGGACTTGGGGCAGCGGAGTTCGGCGGAGCTGCGGGAGAGGTTGAGGCGCCAGGAGAGACTTTTGCGCAACGAAAAATTCATTTGCAAATTGCCCGACAAAGGTAAAAAGATCTCAGACACCATCGCCAAACTGAAAGCTGCCATTGCAGAACACAAAGAGGTTAGAGCAAGAAGTGAACTGTTTCATCCTGTTAGTGTAGACTGTAAGCTAAGGCAAAAAGCAGCCACAAGAGTCGATACCGACGTAGACAAGGCCCAGAATTCTGACCTGATGCTTGATACTTCATCATTAGTTCCTGACAAATCATTCAGAACAACCTCAGAAACACAAGGACCTGCACATCTCACTCCCAGAGGCAACGAAGAGACTTTGGAGGCTGGCTGCACAGTGAACCCGGGTGCAGCTCCCGGCAGCAAAGCCAGGGCACCCTCATCTGAAGTTAACGAACATCTCCCCCAGCGCCCTGTTTCAAGTCAAGCGGAAGACATTTCCAGCGGCATTGACAGTCTGTTTCTCACTAAGTTGCAAAAGATCACAATCGCAGACCAGAGTGAGCCCTCAGAAGAAAACACCAGCACTGAGAACGTGCCAGGGCTCCAGAGAGAGACTCCTAAGAGGCCTCATTACATGGAAGTGCTAGAAATGCGAGCCAAAAACCCAGTGCCCCCTCCTCATAAGTTTAAGACCAATGTATTACCCACTCAACAGAGTGACTCACCAAGCCATTGTCAGAGGGGTGAATCTCCTTCTTCAGAAGAGCAGCGACGCAGGGCTAGGCAGCATCTTGATGACATCACAGCAGCACGCCTCCTTCCGCTCCACCACCTACCTGCACAGCTGCTCTCCATAGAAGAGTCACTGGCCCTGCAGAAAGAACAGAAGCAAAATTACGAGGAGATGCAGGCAAAGCTCGCAGCACAGAAACTAGCTGAGAGACTGAATATTAAAATGCAGAGCTACAATCCAGAAGGGGAGTCTTCAGGGAGATACCGAGAAGTGAGGGATGAAGATGATGCCCAGTCCTCGGATGAATTCTGAAGATGAGCACCGGGCGAACTCTGAACCTGACTGTTGAGCCACCATTGCCTCATAGCAAACTTCCTAACAAGTATCAAGATCAGTGTCAGACCTTGTTGAGGGACAACAGTTTTTAAAGTTACACAAAGGTAGCTACAAATAAGAACCCAGCTTGTCTTTCCGAAGATGATCTTCATGTGCTTGAACAGTTTCATATTTGACATTGTGTTTGACCGTATTGTATTACAGTTTTGCAGTATGTTGTGCATTGGTCTGATACTTTAGTGTGAGTAGAGCACACTTTTCTTTAAGATAGCTGCTTTCTCCTTATTCTTACTCTTATCAAATAGCATTGCTTATATCCCTTCTGGTGAAATACTTAGTTTTCCCAGGCACCTAAAATCAGTTAGGAAGACCTGGTTCCCTTTCTTGAGAAATGAAGGGAGCAATCTAGAAAATGGTACGCATGCTTGCATGGAGTTCCTGAGATGCTGGTGTGAAATACTGTGGAAGACACTCAGATTTTACAACAATGTTTATTTGCTGCTCCTGTCTTCTTTTGGGGTGACCGCTATCTTCCTGTGATGAAGATGGAGCACCTTGAGGAGGTACTGGATGGGGAGGGTCTTCTGAGCTGGTGTGAGGAGCTGCTCTTGGCTTCCCCCGGCACCTTGCTGTCTTTGATGATAGGTCCATGTACAGGGCGCTCATGTTTGGTCAGGAAACGTGTTTTTCTGAGAGTTGCGGTTGAATTGTCATATATTGCTTTTTTTCCTTTTTAAACCCAAAGAGGTGTTTATAGGCTGCAGAAACCTCAGTCTCTTGTATGTACACATTTGTGTTGTTTAGAATGATCATATGATCATCTCCAGCAAAGATAACAATATGTTATCAAAAAACCTTTGTCTATTATGTGGAACCTGTAAAGGAGAAATAAAATACCAATCAGAGCAAAAAAAAGACATAATTTAACATTACAATTAAGTATTAGTTTAGTTTGTAAAAGGCAGCTATTATAAAGACCAAGGAAAGTGGTGGTAATTGTTACATTTTTCTCTTAAAAGTTGGCTAAACAATCAATTTGAGTACACAGTAGGATAGCAGCCTTATGTTTTAAGTGACCTCAAGATATGTTATGAACTCTGCTGTGATGTCAAGCAAATGTTTCAGTCTCTAGAATAAGACATATTGCCATATTACATCACCATGGCCTCAGTCATTGGGCTCTTAACCAAGTTTACAGAACCAGCCAAGAGTTCCCTACTGTGTGGTAGA